ATGCAGCCATAAAAAGGAATGAGATTATGTCCTTTGCAGAAACATTGATGGAGCTGGAAGCCATTATCCTCAGCAAACTAACGCAGAGAAAGAAAACCAAACAGTGCATGTTCTCGCTTATAAGTGGGAGCTGAATGATGATAACACACAGACACATCAGGCAGGGCACACACACTGGGTCCTTTCGGGGGAGGGGTGGGGGGAAGAGAGTGCATCAGGAAGAATAGCTAATGGATGCTGGGCTTAATACCAAGGTGACGGGTTGACAGGTGCAGCAAATCACTGTGCCACACATTTACCTATGTAACAAACCTGCATATCCTGCACATGTACCCCAGAACTTAATAGGTGAAGTAAAAAGGAATATGCTCCTGCATTAAACAGGAAAGAGTATCAACATATATTTAATGAAATATGTATTATATATATATATATATATATATATATAATGTAATATATAGAATGTATATAATCTATAATTTTGATTTAAAAATTTTCCAAAGCATTTTCACATCCTATAAAAGAGGAGCTGAGAATGTGTGAAAACATTTTTACTGAACATTTACTACCCTCCAGGTACTGTTCAAAATGCTTTACATGTATTAACTCAATACTTGGCCAATCCCTACGAGTGAGGTGTGATTCTTATCTCTAGTGTTATAAAAGAGAAATAATGGCACGGAAAATTAAGGAAGAGTCTAATTAATTGAGGAGTGGGAAAGAATATAGACTCTGGAGTCAGAAAGATATGCGTTCAAACCCTGGCTCTATTTCCTGTCATGTGTCATGCGGGGCAAGCCATTTGACCACTGTCAGCCTTGATTTCTCATTACAGGGGAGATAGTAACACACACCCGCAGAACAATTACGAGCATTAAATGTGAAAATTAAAAACATCAGCTCCTAGTACAATGAATCCACTCTTGGACCAAAAAGTTCCCATTTTACGTTCACATGAGAATTCCTGTGTCATATTCTTATCTTTTAAATCAAGAGAATTAACACATATAGTTTATATTCATCTTTCCAATGAGAAAATAATTATACTAAGAATGTCACAATCAGGGCAGAAATAGAAAGTTATCTTACCTGGTCATCATTTGTAAGCACATAGCCAACAGTATGAAGTTTTTCAGGTGGAGCTGGCTGACTCTTTTGAAGTGGAGAAAGCAGCATCTGCAGATATGCCCAATAATTATCTACGTATGTTACTAGAACACTTTGATTTATACCTGGAACATAACTGGTACATAAATTGGCACTATACAGCTGAAATATATGATCCTCCTGAGAGCACATGATCACAGACTGTCTTAGCAATGGGTGCCTTGGTACCAAACAGAGTTTAGAATCTCATATCTAGAATCTATATCATGTTCCGTGATCTATAATATAAATCACTTTATCTAAGTGACGACTCAGTCCACCATCACTACTTCCCATAGGTTCACACCACTAGGTTAAACAACTCCCTTAGGCCTCCAGCTCAGTTTGAGAACAGACTGACCTTCCTTATGCCACCATCCCGACTAAAAATCTATAATTCTAAATATTAATGCTTAAATATTTAGAATTCCAATTTTCACAATTCCACAAGTTCATCTTTTCAGGCTTAAAGGAGAAGTATGTATTAATGAGCACATGCACTTTCCTAGTTGTCCTACCTGCCCATCATTTGTAAACCCATAGCCAACTGTATGAAGTTCTTCAGGTGGAGCTGGCTGACTCGTTTGAAGTGGAGGAACCAGCATCTGCGATATGCGTCATAACTAACTATGTGTATGTGACTGGAACACTCTGATTAAAAACTGGAACATAACTGGCAAAGAAATCGACATTATTCTCCCCATTGGAAGGGTGTAGGCTACATGGCATTCTCTTATCATCCAGGGAACGCTGAGTAGTGGGCCTAACCCTCTTTGGAAAATTTGATGAAATCTACAAATATTTTTCCCTGGAGAAGTGCCCTTACACACAAGCTTCGTGTGCAAATTCAGAAGTATGACTAGCGTTAAGATCCGATTAGATTAGTGGACAGGTGACCCCACACAAAATCACCAAATTAGGGGTAAAGAAGGTTTGTAAACTGCTGCCAATTATCCTGGATACTATCAGTTTTGTGATTTCCATATAAACGAGGAATTCTCTGCCAAACTCACAGTAGTAAGCAGTGTGATATGGTATTTGTGTGTGCAATCTCCGGAATCTGGCATACCTAGATTCTGTCACTTTTCCAACTGGTTAAACCTGAAAGAGCTACTTACATATGCACCCTAAGATTCTATTTCCGTAAAATGGGCATAAAACAGTACCTAACTCATGGTGCTCTTATAAAGAATACCAGAGATAAAGCACAAAGAGGATAGTGTATGTGCTGGTTGATACACACTTTTAAGCCTGAAAAAAAAAATAAATTTATGGGATTCAGTGAAAATGGGAATTCTGAATATTAAAATATTAAAAAACAAAGTGCTCATGCAATAAACAACTTCTTACCAACTAGACTTCCTATTTTTAAAATTAACAAAACCTGGTACAAAAAACTTGTCTGGTTTCAGCATACCAAATTTCCTTCTGGTTAACTGGTCAAAATGACTACAACTTGCAATATCATAAGAATTTCTATATGTTTAAGGTTTCAGATCCTCCTTTATGAAACAAACCATTTGTCATTCCTGAAGTTTTAAATTGATGTATTTAATGTAAGCAAACAGAGAGGGGGAATGATGAAAATTAGATAAGAAAATCAGTGAAATTAAAAAAAAAATCAATGAAATCAAAAATTGGTTCACAGAATAGTTGAAAAAAAAATAACTATCTTTTAGCTTGACTGACCAAGAATAAAAGAAAAGACTACGCAGATTACCAAAATCAAGAATGAAAGTGGGGGTTATGAACACTGACCTTATAGAAATTAAAAGGGGCCAGGCACGGTGGCTCACTCCCGTAATCCCAGCACTTTGGGAGGCCGAGACCCGCGGATCACTTGAGGTCAGGAGTTTCAGACCAGCCTGGCCAACAATGGTGAAACCCCGACTCCACTAAAATACAAAAAATTAGCCGAGTGTGATGGTGCCACGTGTAATCCCAGCTCCTCAGGAGACTGAGGCAGAAGAAGCGCTTGAACCAGGAAGGTGGAAGTTGCAATGAGCCCAGATCGCGCCACTGCACTCCATCCTCAGCAACAGAGCAAGACTCCGTCTCACGTGCGCTCGTGCGCCCGCGCGCGCACGCACGCACACACACACACACACACACACACACACAGAGCAAGCAAGAAATTTAAAGGAATACATTATGAACACCTTTATGCCAACAATTTAAACAACGTAGGTAAAATAGAAAAATTCCTAGAAAACCAATTACTGACTCAAAAAGAAATAGAGGTTTGCAATAGGACTATAGCATGAAAAAGTATTTAATTAGTCATTTTAAATCTCCCCACAAATGGAAGCCAAGCCGAGGTGGTTTCGCGTGTAAATTCTATCAAACATTTAAGGAAGAAGTAATACCAATACTTAGCAAAGGATTTCAAAAAAAAAAATAAATAACAGAGGAAGGAACACTACTTCATTCTATGAGGCCAATTATTACCCTGATATCAAGGCTAGACAAACATATTATAAGATATATTTGCCCGTCAGCTCCAAATTCACCCTTTTATCCCGTTGTGTGAGTTTTCGCGTTCCTCTGCCTATGTCCGCTGTACAGTTGATACGAACGACTGCCTCCGGGTAGAGAGGGTCAGGGTGAGCGAAGGGAGGGGAACGCCACGCTTCCTGGTTCTTCCGTTTGGCGCCGGCGGTCTCACAGTGCACGAGGCTTCCCCTCGGGACTCCCCCCCTCCCCTCTCCTCCCCCCCTCCCCCCTCCTCCCCCCTCCTCCCCCCTCCTCCCCCTCCTCCCCCTTCCCTCTCCTCCCCCTCCTCCCCCTTCCCTCTCCTCCCCCTCCTCCCCCTTCCCTCTCCTCCCCGATCCCCCCTCCCCCTCCTCGCCCCTCCTCTCCCCTCCCCCCCTCCTCCCCCTCCTCCCCTTCCCTCTCCTCCCCCCTCCCCCCTCCCCTTCCCTCTCCTCCCCCCTTCTCCCCCTCCCCCTCCTCCCCCCTCCCCCTCTTCCCCTCCCCCCTCCCCCCTCCCCCTCCCCTCCCCCCTCCCCCTCCCCCTCTTCCTATCTCCCACCCTCCCCCCCTCCTCCCCTCCCCCTCTTCCCCTCCCCTCCCCCCTCCCCCCTCCCCCCTCCTCCCTCCCCCTCCCCCCCTCCTCCCTCCCCCCTCTCCCCCCTCCCCCACCTCCCACCCAACAGGTTCCCGCTGTTTGGCTGCGGCAGGGAATGCCGTGGCCAGCAGCTTCTGTTCCTTCTGTCTCTCTTGAGCCTTACCAGATTGGTGCTTCTGGTGGGACGCCTCCTAATGAGCATCACTCCCAGGCATCCGAGGGGGCACACTTCACATAACTCCCAGAGGGCAAGTTTCTAGAAAGTTCCAGTAGTGGGGAGGCGCCACAACTTCTCTGCCATTTTGTGAAGTGCCGCCGCAGCTCCTCCGGCAAGGTCAAGACTTCAGGACTTTACGTAAGTGGGCAGTTTTTCTCTGGATGCTTTAATTTCTCCCCAGAAGGTGTCCTTTTTCCTCGGAAAGCCTCCTTCTGGGGTGTTCTTTGTCCGGTGAGTGGTACGGCTACCTGGGGGATGTGGCTCCGCTCTGGGGACACCACCGTGGGCGCCTGTGTGAGCCGTCGTGGAGTCTTTTCCTTGGGCACTCCATCTCGGTTATGTTGTGGGGCTGGGGAGCTTTTCTTGGGTACTCCCTCTTGGTGATGCGAGGAACTTTTCCTGCTGCAATGACCTGAACCCAGGGGTGGGGACCCTACCTTGGTCGCGTGTGTCAGCTTCGGATGTGGTGGTGCTTCTTCCCCGCTAGGCCACGACCCTGCAGGGGGACTCTGCCTTAGGTACTCTAATCTGTGTTTAGGGCTGGGGTGGGGGTGGCCATCCTGTGGACACATGATCGCCGCCCTGTGGGGTCACTCTCTGTCGCGGGCTTTATCTCAGCCGGCGAGGGACTCTTCATTGGGTGCTGATGTCGGCCATGGGGCACATTTGTCCTTGGATGTTGCTCACTCTCAGCTAGGATGTGTTGCCTTTTCTTTGGACCTTTTTATCCCCGATGGGGACGCCTACCGGATGCTTTCTCTTGGTGCTGGGTTTTTAAATTATCATCTATGGGTGCTGTGTCCCCGTGCTGCGAGGGAGTGGGGTGCTGTTTCTTGGATTCTCTAAGCCTATGGTGGGACTCTCAGAGCTCTGTGTCAGCCATGAGGGAGGCCACCTGACCTTGGGAGCTCTATCTTGCCCCGGGTTGGGGTGCTTTTCCTTGGTTGGTTCTCAGTCCTGAAGGACCTCTTCCCCCAGGAACTGTCTGACCTTTCAGCCATACCCACTGGGTGTCTGGGAAACATTTCTGTCCAGAAATGTTTGAAGGCTCCAGATGCACACACTCGGTGTGCAATTAGTCTTTCATTCCAGCCACTCTGATGGGTATGCAGTGATCTCTCCTTATGTCTGCATTTGCAGTTTTGTGCTGATTAATGAGATTGAGGACTTTTTTTTTAAGGTGTTTATTTATTAAGTTTTGATTGTTTTTTGAGATGGGGTCTTGCTCTGTTACCCAGGCTGCAGTGCAGTGGCACCATCTCGGTTCACTGCAACCTCGACCTCCCAGGCTCGATCGATTCTCATGACTCAGCCTCCTGAGTAGCTGGGAATACAAGTACACGCCACCAAGTCTGGCTAATATTTGTATTTTTTGGTAGAGACGGCGTTTCGCCAAGTTGTCCAGGCTGGTCTCGAACCCCTGGGCTCAAGTGCCCTCTGCCTGCCTCAGACTCCCAAGGTGCTGGGATTACAGCTGTGAGCTACCGTGCCCAGCTATTTATTGATTATTTTTAGAGCGCTTTTTAAATGCGTTTATTCGTTATTTAAATATGTCTTTTACGAAGTCCCTTTTCAGGTCTTTTCCTTCAGATTTTATTGAGATGTTTGTAGTTTTAAAATGCATTTGTGGTTTACATATATGTTCTCGGTTTCAGTTACACACATACATACAGGCATATATGTACATGTATTAAAATACACATACAATTTCAGTATCTTCTACAAATCTGTTTTGCTTTTACACTGTCTCAATATTGTGTTTTAGATGAACAGATTCTCCTAATGTTATTAATCAGTCTCTTGTTTAGGGCTGTTGCTTTCTATTATTTTAAGAATAATCTTTGCCTGGCCCAGTGCCATGATGCTAATATTCTAAGCTGTCTTCTAGATCTCCCATTCATCTCAAATAAATTTTCATGGAATGGAGTAAAGTCATAGTCTGGGTATATTTTACGTGATTATTGAAGTCATATTTGAGTATGACTCTTAGGGATGAGTACTCAGCTGTTTCCCGCACATTTTATTGCAATGTTTATTTTTTAAAATTGATTTGTAGTTCTGGTTATATTCTGGTTTCCACTCATTTTTTGGTCAGATATATACATATATATGATTAATGTATATTTTTATATATAACCTATATGATATATTATATAATATGTAATCTACGGATTTGCTTTGCTTTTTCACTCTCTTAAGACTGTCTTTTGAGGAATAGAAGTTTTACATTTAATTATGTCTAATCAAACAATGTATTCTTTATTGTTAGTACCTTTTAATCCTAATCAAAAATACTTTGACCTATTCTAAAGCTGTAATGCTAATATCTTATGTTTTTTACTGGATTTACTATCCATCTTTAGTAATATTTTCTGGAGTGGGATGGGGTAAGAGTCAAAGTTTGTATTTTCCCTACATTTGTGAAGTGCAGTTATTAAAAGCACTAGTCGGGGAGGGGAGCACTACACACTGGGGTCTGTTGGAGGGAAATAGGGGAGGGACAATGGGGGGTGGGGAGTTGGGGAGGAATGGCATGGGGAGAAATGCCAGATATAGGGGAGGGGGAGGAAGGCAGCAAATCACATCACACTGCCACGTGTGTACCTATGCAACAATCTTGCATGTTCTTCACATGTACCCCAAAACCTAAAATGCAATTAAAAAATAAAAAGAAATAAATATAAAGAAAAAAAAGAAATTGCCTAGAAATAGGTACAAAAATAAAATTTTTTTAAATGTAAAAAAAAAAGAAAAAGCACTAGTCTTTCCACAGTGTTTTACAGGAGCTCTTCTGTGGTAAATCTAGCTGTTTTCCATTTCCAGATTCTTTCTGGCCTCTGTGTCGTCTACCTTTAGTGTATTTGCCTATCATTGCTCCAATACCATACTGTTTTAATTCCTCTACCCTTATAGTAAATCCCATGTTTAGTAGTGTATGTCTACAAACTTAGTTCTTTTTCTTAAATATTGTCTTAGCTTTCCTAAATATATATATTTTGAGACGGAGTCTCGCTCTGTTGCCAGGCTGGAGTGCAGTGGCACAATCTCAGCTCACTGCGACCTCTGCCTCCCTGATTCAATCGATGCTCAGGTCTCAGCCTCCAAAGTAGCTGGGACTACAGGCACGCACCACCACACCCAGCTAATTTTGTATTTTTAGTAGAGACGGGGTTTCACCATGTTGGCCAGGAAGGTCTCAATTTCTGTACCCTGTGATCTCTAGATCTCTACGCCTCAGCCCCTCAAAGTGCTGAGATTATAGGTGTGAGCCACCGCCTCCGGCCAGCTTTCCCAAATCTTTAATTTACATATACTTAAGACAATGATCTGTTTGTCAATTTTTGGAAAAATTTTTGTTAACATGGTGGAATTTTAAATATGATTGCTATGTTATTCTGAAAGAATTAACAATAATGCCTCAATACTGTCTTTCATTCCATGGAAAGAATATTTTTCTCCATTTACTGCAGTCTTGAATTTCTCTCAGTGATGTGTTATAATTTTTGTGTAGTGCTGTAGCACATCCTGATTAGATTTATTTCTAAGTATTCAGTGTTTTTTTTACTGTTTTAATGACATTTGAAATTTTATATTCTAATTATTTGTTGCTATTAATTATGAAGAAATACCATTGATTTTTATTATATCCAGTGACTTGAGTAAATTTGCTTATTAACCATAATGATTTTATACTTTTACATATTCTATGTACAGAACAATGTCATCTCTAAATAATGCCAGTTTTATTTCTTTTCAGATTTTAAACCTATTCATATTTTCCTGATGTTACTGCACTTTTCAGAAAAAAACTCCAGTAAATTGTTGAATGGATAGTGGACATATTTGTCTTGTTTTCAAACTCAGGAAGAAAATCCTGATATTTCACTGTGAAGTATGGCATTTACTATTTTTTGTGTGTGTGCATATGCTTACCAAAATAAGAAAGTAGCCCATTTTTTTTCTAAGATGCTGATAGTTTTTAATCATGAATAGATTTTAAACATTGACCCATCTATAATAATGATCATGTGGTGTTTCTCTGTATTTTTGTTGTTTTTAATGTGGTGCATTACACTTACTGATTTTCAAATTTTAAATCATTCTTGCCTTTATACAATATACTCCACCACAGCTGATGGAGTTCTTTTTAAGTACTATTGCATTTTATTTGCTAACCTTTAGTTTAGAATTTGGGAGTCTGGGTTCAGGGGTGATCTTAGCTTGTAGTTTTGGCTTGATCTTGTAGTTTTTCTTTCTTCTGATGTCCTTGTCAAATGTTATTAGGTTTGTATCAATCTCCTAGAATGAGGACAAAGAAAAGGAATTATTTTTCCTAGCAAGTGTTGATACAGATTAGTTTATCCATCTTCAAAGCAGTAATAACGTTTTTTATCTACTTTTGTTTGATGAGAGCTGCTTATTCCGCAAGCATTCTGATTGATTCTGGTTGTACCATTTTTCTTCTTCTTTTTCTTTCTTTTTTGTTTTAATTGTATTTGGGCTCTGGGGTACATGTGCACATCCTGCATCCTGCAGGATAGTTGCACAGGTATATATATATATATATATATATATATATATATATATATATATATGCCATGGTGGTTTCCTGTCTCCATCCCTCTGCCCCCGACACGTTGCCTAGATCAGGCATTTCTCCTGCTGTTATCCCTCCCCATCCACCCATCCCCCTTTGCTGTCCCTCCCCTCCCCTCCCCTCCATCCCCTCGACCGAGCCCTGTGAGTGTTGTTCCCTTCCCTGTGCCCAGGTGTGCTCACTGTTCATCACCCACCTGTGAGTGAAAACATGTGGTGTTTGGTTTTCTGTTCTTGTGTCAGTTTGCTGAAAATCATGTTTTCTAGATTCATCCATGTCTCCAAAAAGGACACAAACTCGTCGTTTTTTATGGCTGCATAGTATTCGATGGTGTATATGTTCTACATTTTTTTTGTCCAGTCTATTGTCGATGGGTATTTGGGTTAGTTCCAGGTCTTTGCTATTGTAAACAGTGCCACAATGAATACATGTGCACGTGTGTCTTTATGATAGAATGATTTATAATCCTTCTGGTATATACCCAGTAATGAGATTGCTGGGTCAAATGGAATTTCTATTTCCAGATCCTTGACGAATCGCCACACTGTCTTCCACAACGGTTGAACTAATTTACACTCCCACCAACAGTGTAAAAGTGTTCCTTTTTCTCTACATCCTCTCCAGAATCTGTTGTCTCCAGATTTCTTAGTGATCACCATTCTAAGTGGCATGAGATGGTATCTCAATGTGGTTTTGATTTGCATTTCTCCAATGACCGGTGATGATGAGCATTTTTTCATATGTTTGTGGGCTGCATATTTGCCTTCTTTTGAAAAGTGTCTGTTCATATCCTTTGCCCACTTTTGAATGGGTTTGTTTGTTTGTTTCTTGTAAATCTGCTTTAGTTCTTTGTAGATTCTGGATATTAGCCCTTTGTCTGATGGGTAGATTGCAAAAATTGTTTCCCATTCTGTTGGTTGCCACTTTACTCTAATGATTGTTTCTTTTCCTGTGCAGAAACTCATAAGTTTAATTGGATCCCATGTGTCTATTCTGGCTTTCGTTGCCATTGCTTTTGGTGTTTTAGTCATGAAGTCCTTGCTGTGCCTGTGTCCTGAATGGTGTTGCCTAGGTTTTCTTCTAGGGTTTTTACAGTGTTAGTTCTTATGTTTAAATCTTTAATCCATCTGGAGTTAATTTTTGTATAAGATGTAAGGAAGGGGTCCAGTTTCAGCCTCCTGCATATGGCTAGCATGTAATAGAATGGAATTTCCCAACAGTTTTCCCAACACCATTTATTAAACAGGGAATCCTTTCCCCATTGCTTGTTTTTGTCTGGTTCCTCAAAGATCAGATGGATGTAGATGTGTGGTGTTGCTTCTGAGGCCGTTCTGTTCCATTGGTCTATATCTCTGTTTTGGTACCAGTAGCATGCTGTTTTGATTACTGTAGCCTTGTAGTATAGTTTCAAGTCAGGTAGCTTGATGCCTTCAGCTTTGTTCATTTTGCTTAGGATTGTCTTGGCTATGCGGGCTCTCTTTTGATTCTATATGAAGTTTAAAGTGGTTTTTCCCAGTTCTGTGAAGAAGGTCAATGGTAGCTTGATGGCGATAGCATTGAATCTATACATTACTTTAGGCAGTATGGCCATTTTCACAATATTGATTCTTCCTAACCATGAGCATGGAATGTTTTTTCATCGTTTGTGTCCTCTCTTATTTCCTTGATTTGGTTTGTAGTTCTCCTTGAATAGATCTTTTATATCCTTTGTTAGTTGTATTCCTAGGTATTTTATTCTCTTTGTAGCAACTGTAAATGGGAGTTCGCTCATGATTTGGCTCTCTGTTTGTCTGTTATTGGTGTATAGGAATGCTTATGATTTCTGCACACTGATTTTGTATCCTGAGACTTTGCCGAAGTTGCTTATCAGCCTAAGGAGGTTTTGGGCTGAGACAATGGGTTCTTCTAAATATACGATCATGTCATCTGCAAATAGGGACAATTTGACTTCTTTTCCTAATTGAATGCCCTTTATTTCTTTTTCTTGCCTAATTTTTCTGGCTAGAACTTCCAGTACTATATTGAATAGGAGTGGTGAGAGAGGGCATCCTTGTCTAGTGCCAGTTTTTAAAGGGAATGCTTCTAGTTTTTGCTCATTCAGTATGATATTGGCTGTGAGTTTCTCCTATATAGCTTTTATTGTTTTGAGGTACGTTCCTTTGATACCTAGTTTATTGAGAGTCTTTAGTATAAAGGGCTGCATCTATTGAGTTAATCATTTGGTTTTTATTTTTGGTTCTGTTTATGTGGTAAATTACATTTATAAATTTGCCTATGTTGAACCAGCCTTGCATCCTGGGATGAAGTCTACTTGATCATAGCAGATAAGCTTTTTGATGTGCTGTTGGATTCGGTTTGCCAGTATTTTATTGAAGATTTTTGCATCAGTGTTCATCATGGATATTGGTGTGTAGTTTTCTTTTTCTTTCTTTCATTCATTCATTCTTTCTTTCTTTCTTTTTTTTTTTTTCTTAGCATGCATTAAAATTAGTTTTCTTTTCCTGAAAACAGAGTGTTTGCTGAGACTTGGTAAGTCTTGGCTCATTATTAAAAGTCAAACTAATGATTGAAGTTCTTGATTGTATTGATATATGCAGACTGTTTGCCATTTTCTGATTGTTATATTTTTGTCATGAATGGAAAATGTTCATTGATGTTGTTCAGGACACAATGATGGATTAAAGCAGAGAAGGTTGCTGCAGAACCTCAAAATGCATTTAAACATCCCAGGGAATGTGAGAGTTCTTCATCCCAGAAAAGGCAGAAGATGGCCCTGTTAGTAAGGAAACGAGGAGTAGGAGATGGCCTTATTGGAGGCTCTGCCATGTCTAAAGAAAAGAGTCAGTAAGCCTGTCCTCACCTCCTCTTCATGCTGTGTCCAGTGCAGTCAGTTTCCTGCTTGTTCCCCTCCACTGAAACTGTGCCTGTCAAGGTCAACAGTCCTGGCTGACACTGCCATTAATTTATCAGCAGCATTTGAGAGTTGTTCACTGCTTCTTCATGGAAAGCTTCTAGGATTTCCATTTTCCACAATCTTCTTTTAAAATTTCTTGTCCTTATTGGTGAATCCCTAATTTTTTTTTTTTTTTTAGATGGAGTTTCTCTCTTGTAGGCCAGGCTTGAGTGCAGTGGCGTCATCTAGGGTCACTGCAACCTCCGTCTCCAGGTTTCAACTGACTCACGTGCCTGAGCCTCTCGAGTAGCTGGGATTATAGGCACCAGCCACCACACCCAGCCAATTCTTATATTTTGAGTAAAGATGGGGTTTCGCCATGGCAGCCACACTGATCTCAGACTCCTCACCTCAGGTGATCCACCAACCGCAACCTCCCAAAGTGCTGGGATTACAGGCATGAGCTACTGCACCCCTATCACTCTGTTTTTCTACCTTTCTTTTTCTTTTCTTCTGTAAATACTGTAAACATTTCTGAATCCCAGCATTTCTCCCTCTCCTTTTTTTTTTTTCTTTTTTTGAGAAGGAGTTTCGCTCTTATTACCCAGGCTGGAGTGCAATGACAAGATCTCAGCTCACCGCAACCTCCGCCTCCTGGGTTCAGGCAATTCTCCTGCCTCAGCCTCCTGAGTAGCTGGGATTACAGGCACGTGCCACCATGCCCAGCTAATTTTTTGTATTTTTAGTAGAGACGGGGTTTCACCATGTTGACCAAGATGGTCTCGATCTCTTGACCTCGTGATCCACCCGCCTTGGCCTCCCAAAGTGCTGGCCTCTCTTTCTTTTCCACTGTGCCATGATCAGTCACTGAGCTACTGTGACATCTCCATGTTTCCCATTATTGCCCCCATCTAACACAAACCCTTCAATCCTGCAGCCAGGTCATCGTGTTGGCATGTAAATGATGACATCAAGTCATGTTGCTCCTGAAAACCCATCTTCAACTCCCCTAAGCACTCAGAACAGACTGTAAACCAGCTTTACAGGTCTACGTGGCCTGACCTCTGTCACCCTCTCCTAACACAAGTCTCATCCATCTCCTGGTTCTCTCAGCTTCTGTCCCTTACCCCATAGTGCCCAGTTTATCCCCATTCCGGCCCCTATCGTTGGCCTCACTGCAGCCTGGAAATCCCCCTCTGCCTCTGCACAGGCTGCCCCACTTCTTCCTCCAATCCCTACCCAAGGGCACCTCCTCAGAAGGCCCTGCCCAACCAGCGGCAGCCCCTGTGGCTCCCTCTGCTGCTGTCTCCCACAGACCTGTGGATGGCTTCCTCACCATCAGCCCAATGCTGTTAGTTTCATTCGCTCATTGGGCACGTACTGTCTGACTGCCCCATGAGGATGTGAGTTCCACAAGAGCAGGAAACGTTGCTCTCTGGCGGTTTACTGCTGATCCCCAGCTTCTGGAATGCTGCCTGCCACAGACGATGAATAAATGAAAGAGGTGACAGACCTGGAGTGAAAAGAACGTAACGTTTTTGTGACAAAAAAGAAGGATGAGGAAGATCATACACTAAAATGGATTTTTGGTGATGGAGTATATATAGAACTTTCAGCACTAATGGCCGCCTCTGTTTTCTCAGAACATATTTGATGTAGAGAGGTGGCAGGTTGAGGTGTATCCAAGTTGTCTGGCTTCCAGCTAGAGTATGGCGGGCTGTTTGTGAATTTGAGAAGTCATAATGTCAACTGAGACTTGCTACTTTCACCTAATAAAGCATAACAAGCTGACACTAACCCATGAGTACCAGGGACCTGTGAATGTTTGTTAGAGTTGTACTGTCTTACTTGGTTTCCATCTGCATTCATAGGGCCAGAAAATACGGGGTGGTTTTATTATGTGTCCTGGCCTCTGTTCGTCAGGCCTGGGGTTTCCCCCAGTACATCCTCCCAATTATGAAATAAATAATTCCCTAGAAACTGAGGAGCACATAGATGTACCGAGAGGGGTGATGAAACACACATATCCCACAGCTCCGCTTCTCAGTTTGGTTTCCAGATCTGTCATTCATGATGTCTATGTGGAGGGGAAAGAACATGGTGAAACTCCCACTGATGGCTTTTTGTCAAAATTTGTTTCACCAGAGGTTAAGACAGGAGTTGGTATTCCACCCAGCCAATTGGATTCTCAGATTGATGACTTCACTGGCTTCAGCAAAGATGGGCTGATGCAGAAACCTGGTAGAAATGCACCTGTCGGAGTCATTGTTACCAGCAGTTTCTCTGGAGATGACCTAGAAGTCACAGAAATACTCCCTTTTTCAAGAATCCAAAAAGATATTAATGCTGAAATAAAGGGCAAATTAATGAAGGAAATTCTACATTACTTTGGATGAAGTAAGTAATATAAGAATGTCTGTTTCAAAAAAAAAAAAACTCTAGGAAGTCTCTCTTTTTATGATTTAGAAGATGTGCATGTTATCTGCTGAGGCTCATTCTTTGCCAGAGTTAAGATTGCATATAATTTATGGTTGTTTTTCTTTTCTTTGACTAAAATATAGTACACCTTCTCTTTTTCTTTTCTTTCTTGGTTATTGTTTACAAGGGTTTCATTCTTATGTATATGCAGGTGTTTTCTTTTTTTTTTTAATTGTTGTATGAGCTGGTATCTTTATTTAAGCATTTAAAATATTTAGCCTATGAAGCATGATTGCTGAGGTATTGTTTAACCAAGATTCACTTCTATTCTTCTTGATAATACTGAAGTTTTTTTTTTTTTTTTAACATCTTCAGAACAAGAAAAAACAATAACAACAAAAACGTCAAATTGCCTGAAAGACTGCAAGCACCTGCAGAAGTCAAGGGACGCTATTTTGAATCCATCATCAAGGAAGCAGCAAGGTGGGTAGAGATAAGAACTGTTCAATTTCTTTAAGCACTTGGGCTCAACGCAGTACTGGCAGTGAGCGTTAGGGAACTGTCCCTGCCTTGAGTTTCTCACCCTGGCCCTCACTCATAGTTATGGCTGTCTCCACAGTTACTTAGGTTAATGTTATCTGAATCTAACTCATCCTTCCAAGCCTATGGAGACTTCCATTCTCACCGTAGTCTGAGGAGGGCATTGTCCCTCAGTTGGCAGTCTTTATATTTGCTAGATTACTGCTTTTTAAGAAATTTGTGTAGGTACATAGCAGATGCATATATTTCTGGGGTATGTGAGACATTGTGATACAGACAACAATGTGTAATAAACACATCAAGGTAAATGGGGGATCTATCAGCTCAAGCATTTATCCTTCATGCTACAGGTAATCCAATTATACTGTTATTATTTTTAATGTACAATTAAATTATTACTGACTATAGTCACCCTGTCTTGCTATCAAATACTACATCTTACTCATTCCATTTTTGTACATATTAATCATCTGCACTTCCCCCCACCCCCACTAACCTTCCCAGCCTCTGGTAACTGTCATTCTACTCTCTATCTTCATTAGTTCAGTTGTTTAAACTTTTTGCTCCCACCAGTAAGTGAGAACATGCGAAGTTTGTCTTTTTGTGCCTGGCGTATTCCACTTAACATAATGACCTTCAGTTCCATCCATTTTGTTGTGCAAGACTGAATCTCATTCTTTTTTATGGCTGAACAGCACTCCACTGTACCACATTTTCCTTAGCCATTCATCTGTTGGTGGACACTTAGGTTGCTTCTCAATCTTGGCTACTGTGGACGGTGCTGCAACAAACACCGGAGTGCAGCTATCTCTTCGATATGCTGACTTCCTTCCTCTTGGGAGTATACCCAGAAGTTGGATTGCTGGATCATATGACAGCTCCATTTTTAGTTTTTTGAGGAACCTCCAAACTGTTCTTCATAGTTGTTGTAGTAATTTATATTCCCACCAAGAGTGTATGAAGGTTCCCTTGTCTCCACACCCTCGCCAGCATTTGTTATTGCCTGGCTAGACTACCTCTTAGCATGCAGATGCATTTCTGTCTCCATGCTGACTGTTACTTCATTCTTCTGTCTCCCACAGTGCTTCCTACAGCATAGGTTCTTTGACTATCTTTTGGTTGATGACATGTCTCTTTTCAGGTATATGAGAGGAGACTTAATTCAGAACCTTGAGAAGAAACTGGTAGAAAAGATTTCTGGCTACTATTCAAAGGAGGGTCATCACACCCTGAATGCATGATCTCATTAATGACTGAGAGGAAAAAAGGATCAGATTGCTGTTTTCTATGATGGAGCAGGATATTGCTGAAGCCTCCTAGCGTGTGTTGGTTAATAAAATGGCCTTCCAGAAGCTAAAATATTTCTGTTAGTAAAAGTTCATCGTTTTCCTTAAGCATTTCATTTGAAAGGATAAATTATTTGTTAGTTGGTTGATTTTCCCACCTGTGCTGGTAGATACTGTTAACCCATTAAGTAAATACTATTACAGTCGTGGTTTCTGCAGCAGCCCACATTGTTGTAGCTGGTATTTATAACTGCTACCCATTTCTCATTCCCTTTGCCCTGGGGAAAGCATGTCAGCTAGTCATGGTGCCTGGCCTTGCAGGATGACTCAAACCTTCATTACTGAAAAGTCTGAATAATTAGATGTCCTGCCTGGATGGGGTTGCTGTAATTTTCCATTAACTCTAATCACAAAACACGGGAGAATTAAGAAGCTGTCTAGACATGCTCTTTCTTAGCCCCTAGTGTAGTAGGAGCCCCATCTCTCTTTGATTGTCAGTTTCCATCACTCCAGACAGTAGTGGACGTCCTCCTTTGTCGTTTGGTGGAGCGGAATGAACAGTCCAAAGTGGTCAGCTTACAGACATGACTTTTATCTATTGTTGTTGTTGTTGTTTTGTTTTGATTTTGAGGTGGAATATCCCTCTATCACGTGACCAGGCTGGAGTTCAGGAGTGCAATGGCACAATCTCAGCTCGTGGCAGCCTCTGCCTCCCAGTTTCAAGCGTTTTTCCACCCTCAGCCTCCCGAGTAGCTGGGACTACAGGCATGCGCCACTGTGTCTGGCTAATTTTTGTATTTTTATTAGAGACGGGGTTGCATCATGTTTGGCAGGCTGGTCTCCAACTCCTGACCTCAGGTGATCTGCCCACCTTGGCCTCCCAAAGTGCTGGGATTACAGGTGTGAGCCACTGTGCCTGGCCAGACACAACTTCCATTTCAATGGAATCACTTTTGGTTCCCATGTTGAAAAAATGTCTCAATGTGTAAAATGTCCTCTAGTCCAGCAGAGCCAAAAGTTTTCTTCTTTACAGCAAATTTTGCTTCTTGAGCATAAGAGGCAACATTTTGCTACTAGATACCCAGGAGTAACAGTGAGAGGAGGCCTGAATATTGCCTCCTTCATTCTTGAAGTCATAGATGTGGCTATGGGAGAAAGAGTTCCATATATTTGATGCTGGGATTCAGCTTTGTCACTTTCTAGATTGTCAGCCAAGCCCCACAAGGCTCTGTTACAAAGCTGCAACTAAAACTCAGGCTTTGAAAGATCCTCCAGTGTTCTATTGAGCCAGCCACTTCAGGATGGTGAAGAACATCAGGAGACGAGTGAAATTCCATCAGTGTGATCCCATTGCCATACTTCATTTCCTTTAAAGTGGGTTTCACGTTTAAAACTGGTAGTGTGGGATACCACGATGGTGGATACAGCCTTTCCTGATACCACAGTTGTTGGTTTTCTTGAAGTGACATGGGTAGGAATGAAAATCCATGTCCAGAAGAAGTGTCTATTTGAGCAAGTTCAAAGTGATACTCCTTCAATTGTGGAAGCAGACCCAAGTAATCACTGTGCCACCTGGAAGCTGACTGATCACTCTGGGACATGGTGCCATATTGGGGACTCAGTGTTGGTCTCTGCAGCTAGCAGGTTGGATAGTCAGCAGTTACTGTAGTGACATGGACCTGGTAAATGAAAGTTCATGTTGCCAAGCCCATGAATAACCTCTATCTCAGCCACCATAATCATGATGCACCATTACTGCTTAGAAGATAGAGGGGTGCACCTAAGGAGATATGGAAGTAGTCAGGTAGCTTAGAGTGGCCTCAGCAAAGACAGCAAGTATATGGCTACCTCAGTTCTACAACTTTAAGAAGTTAGACCTGCCAGTAACCAAAATGAGCTTGAAAACAGTTTGTCTCTGAGTCTTCAGTCAGCAGCCTGGTTGATAATTTGACTTTGATTTTGTGAGATCCTAAGCAGAGAAACAAATCGAGGATGCCTGGATTTCTGATCTACGGAACTGCATATATATTTGTGTTTATTTTAAGCTGCTAAATTGGGGATAATTTGTTTTTCAGTAGTAACAAACTAATACATGTGCTGCCTGTATATTCTGAAGTAACAAATGAAAATCAGGCATAATATTTTTTTGTTTTTTTGTTTTTTTCTAGTCAACTGGTCACAGGGAACCCCACGTGAGACCACGTTGCAGGATTAGGGAAGCTTCTCTTTTTCTTGGCGCCAATCCATGCTAGCAGGGTTTCAGTCACTTGTCAATGGGTCACAGTACTGCACAACATTGAGGTATGTGCTAAAACAAGCATCTATTATGCAACTCATTCTGTGCTCCTTATTTTGTGGTATGAAAGCCAAGATGTAGGAACTTGCTGTTGACCTTATAAGCACCATCTTGACATGTGGGCCTACTAGATCATTAAACATTTCACTCAGTTAGAAGGCCCCTGATTTTGTGTGGGAATTATTTCACACATAATGTCTTGCAAGTGTGTTGCTAATGTGTCTGGATTAGTTGCTACCTCCTGTTCAGTCAGCATAATGTCATCAGTTCAAAGAATGGTGTCACATCTGGTGTAAGGGAATGGTGGTCAGGGTCCCTAAGGACTCATTTAGGATGTAAGCCTAGAAAGTTGATATAAGCTTGAAATAGGTGATAGTACATTGCTGTCCTTCCTAGCTGATCTCAATCTCTTGTTTGTGACAATTACAGAAAGAAAATAAAACATTCACCTATCCAATATTATATATCAGGTTCCCAGGGATGTTACAGTTGCTGAAGCAACAGAACCACCTATAGTATAGCAACTGCAGTTGGAACAACAATTTGATTAAGTTTATGGTGCAATCTCGGCTCACTGCAACCTCCACCTTCTGGGTTCAAGCAATTTTCCTGCCTCAGCCTCCTGCGTAGCTGCTATAGGCACACACTATCACACCTGGCTAATTATTTGTATCTCTTTTCTTTTTTCTTTTTTTTTTGAGACAGAGTCTCACTCTGTTGCCCAGGCTAGAGTGCAGTGGTGGAATCTTGGCTCACCACAAGCTCCACCTCCTGGGTTCAAGTGCTTCTCCTGCCTCAGCCTCTCTAGTAGCTGGAACTACAGGTGCATACCACACGCCTGACTAATTTTTGTATT